TGGGGGGGGGGGAGGATCCTGTCAGTCGGTTCCTGGTGCTGACGAGGCTGATGGGGCGGGCTGGCCCTGCCCCATGCTGGGCCCGAGCGGGGCAGTTCACGTTCACCGTTCCTCACGGGCTCCCACCCTGGTCCTAGGGAGCCAGGTGCCACCCTGCGCTGCTGTCTCTGTATCAGAGGTACCTGTGCTGGGTGGCAGCTGGCTCCCTGCGAGCGGGGCCAGCAGGCGGGAGCCAGTATGTGCCAGGAGCCGGCTTAAAAGCCGGTTTCTGGTGTGCCCCAGCTGCCAGGGAACTGGATGCCACCGTGGGTGTGTGTAACTGCTGAGTTTTTCAGCTGTTACATGGTGACACAATTACCCGTTTTTAACATCTCTAATGTTTCTTTGTGTCGCCTAACCCACTCTCTGATCTCTGACGGCAGAGATGCTAGCCGGCCAGTCTACTTAGAATTGCCCTTTCCAATATGCGCTAGCTATTTATTGCTAAACTACCTGTTCCACCTTGCATTTTGCTGTGACCCTGGAAGAACTTTTCGTGGACCAGAAGAAGAGCTCTCTGTCACTGTGTAGCAGCTTGAAAGCTTTTCTCTTACCAATAGAAGTTGGTCCAGTAAGATATTTCACCCACCTTTCTGAAGAAGAGGAGTCTCCTCTAGCTTGTAACACAAACTGCCTGAAAATTGAAGCATTGCTGTCAGCTTAAAAATTGCATTATGCTTTAAAAGTGGTGTGCCTATTGTTACAAGTAACACTTATGATCACTCTAAGTAAAATAGATAAGAGCAAGAAAATATTTTTCCTTTTTAGTGTTTAGTTTGGACGTTTGATAGCATTTTGCATTATAGTATACTTCATTAGTGTTCTCTCCATGTCCCCATTTTGTGCATGTGTGAGTTACAGTGGTGTAGACAGAAGGGCCCAGTTGGTTGGGCCCTGACTTTGGGTAGATGGGCAAGAATGGGGGGAGCAGGACAGAAGGGATGGGAGTCAAGCACGGTAAGCTGTAGTGCCCCAGCCTTATTCCCTGGCTGTCTTGCCGGGTGGAGCCAGGTAAGCCCTTGTGCTCCGATCCCACTTCCTGGTTGGAGCATTGGGCAGGCTGCAGGCGGGTGGGCCTGGGTGCAAAGTGGGTGAGCCACGGACCACTCAGACTCACTGTGGTATGCCCCTGAATAAAACACCACGCTGGATATTTTCAAACTGCTTTGGTATGTTTTCTGAACTTTGGAATCGACTTGAAGTTGAAAAGAGAATAATGTGAATAAATGTAACATTAAGTATTTTTATTAAATATAGCTTCATATGGGAGGATGCAGAAAATAATGATCCACAACGAGACAAGTCAAAACTACTGGCTCTTAGTAAAAACAATGAACTGTTTGTCTATGCACTCAAGGGAGAGGATGGAAAATCTGACACAACTGCCTTGTACAGTTTGAATGAAGAAACACTTAAAAAACTTCTGGAAGTTAAAAATATTAGTGAGTACATTGAATGTATATTCTATATATTTACTCTTTGGAGATTATAGTCCAAATTAGGGATGTCAACGGATAGTCGACTACACAATTAACCGATATGCCTGGGCCTAGCGTTTACTCCTGTCGAGTACACGCACACTTCCTCTTGCTGCCTCTGATATAGAAGTTGCAAGGCAGGGAGGGAGGTGGAAGCCAGTTTTAGGATGGCTTTCCACTTGTGCTGGCTCCGTGGATCCATCTCTCCCTCCCCTTTCCCCCACACTGCCTCCCACAGAGGCAGCAAGGGGGCGGGGATAAGCTTTTAATACAGCTCCCTGCCCATACTGGCTCTGTGGCACCGCCTGCTCCTTCCCTCCCCACCCACCTCCTGCTGCCTTCCACAGAGACAATGGGTAGGAGGCAGGCGGGAGCTGGCATGCACAGAGAGATCCATGAAACTGCCTGTCCCCCTTGCTGCCTTTCACGAGCACTGGCTCCTGCAGAGCTGTATACCCCTTTTCCCCCCGTCTTCCAATGCTGCTGCCTCTGATAGAGAGGCAGCAGTATGGGGGGACAGGTGCGGGAAGCAGCTTTCAAACTGGCTCCTCATGCATATTGGCTCCTGTGGGGCTGTCTTCCTCCTCCCCCTCCCCCATGCTGCTGTCTCTTTTTCAGAGGCAGTGGGGGTGGGGCAGACAGGAGCCAATGCTTGCGGGGAGCCAGTGTTTAAGCTGGCTCCCCCTGCAAGCACCAGCTTCCACCTGTCCACCCCTTGCGTATAAATGTGTAGCCGCTAACATTTCCAGCGGCTACATGTTTACATCAATAGCTGATTGCTAACATACCTAGTCCAAATTTTTCAACGACTATTAACATGTGAATGGGCTGCAGGATTAGGCCTTAGTAAGGTGTAAAATATTTTATGCTGTCATTTAAAAAACAACAAATAGTCTAGTAGCACCTTAAAGACTAACAAAACATGTAGATGGTATCATGAGCTTTTGTGGGTATAACCCACTTCTTCAGATGACCGGAGTGTTGGAAGTCCAGATCCAAGAATATATAAGGGAAGGAGGAGGAGGAGAAAAAAGATAATCTATTCACATTCCTTTTTCTCCTTTTTTTTTTCCTCCTCCCTCCCCCCTTCCCTTATTTATTCTTGGATCTGAACTTTTAATACTCCAGTCATCTGAAGAAGTGGGTTTTGCCCACGAAAGCTCATGATACCATCTACATGTTTTGTTAGTCTTTAAGGTGCTACTAAACTACTATTTATCGTTTTTAAAGTTTTTCTAGTTACAGACTAATTCGGATACCCCTCTGAAGTTTTTAATGTTGTGGGTTTGGGACTGCCTGTGTTGATGAGGCATGTACTTTCTCATCTGAAATGCTAATGGATTTTCGGAATGGCTATGATATAAATATTACAGATGGGCATGCACTGCACCTAGTCAGATGAATGTCAGAAAATGTTATAGTTGAGACTATACTCTCCAATCCTGCAGAGTCTTAAGCATATACTTAGCTTTACACACTACTGTGACTAGCCTGTTGAAGTCCTTGTATAAAGTTAAACACATGTACATTTTGCAGGATCCGGGCTTTGATGTATTAAATACATTTAATATCCCCTGAGCTAAAGTCATCTTGCTGAAGTATCTTATTTTCAAAATTAGTATTTATAGTGCTTACCAAAATGTTGTTTGTGTTTATCCTGTTGCCTTTGTGCAACAGAAATTGATTAAACATATTAATGCTATTCTTGGAACTGTTCTGACCTCAGTGATCTTGGCACCTAGTTTGATCAAAAGGCTTGGCCACTGAATTTAAATAATAATCTTAATAAAGTGTCTCACCAAACAAACTATCATTTTGGATATGTAAACACTGATTATTTAAAAATAATTTTACAGGTGTTCCTTCAGTATCATCTCTGAGGATTCTGTCATTTAAAAAGAGCTCATCTTTACTACTGCTGAATCACTTTATTCTTGTGCACCTTGATTTTCCTGAAGAAGATACGGAAGTAGAGGCACCTGACTGCTTTGTCCTTGACTTGTCTCCACAAGCTTTGGAAAGAATAACAGATGTGAACTTTTGTAGAGGGGTTTTATTTTTGTTGGATAATTCTGGCAGGATATGTATCCTTTGCAATGGAGACTGTTTCCAAATATAGTTGATCAGGAGAAGTAAAATCATATTCTGAAGAAAAAAATGTGGATATCAGGGGAAAATATTTCTTAAAATCCTTTCAGAATTAAATACAATTTTTGTGAAGGAAATTCAGGCCTTGCTATTTTGAAGTTATTTTATCCATCTAGTCCATATAATAGCATAGTTCAGTGCTCATCATTGCAGTGTGAGAAGCTGAACTAAAGGTCCCAATACTGATCTCACCAGACCTACGGAGATTCATTATTACACTGGGGCTACGTCTACACTGGCATGATTTTCTGGAAATGCTTTTAATGGAAAAGTTTTCCATTAAAAGCATTTTCGGAAAAGAGCGTCTAGATTGGCAGGACGCTTTTCCGCAAAAGCACTTTTTGCGGAAAAGCGTCCGTGGCCAATCTAGACGTGCTTTTCCGCAAAAAAGCCCCGATCGCCATTTTTGCGATCAGGGCTTTTTTGCAGAAAACAAATCTCTGTTGTCTACACTGGCCCTTTTGCGCAAAAGTTTTTCGGAAAAAGACTTTTGCCCGAACGGCAGCAGCATAGTATTTCCGCAAAAGCACTGACAATCTTACATGAGATCGTCAGTGCTTTTGCGGAAATTCAAGTGGCCAGTGTAGACAGCTGGCAAGTTTTTCTGGAAAAGCGGCTGATTTTCCGAAAAACTGACCAGTCTAGACACAGCCTGTAGCTGCTAACTTTTTGGTCTTGTGAGCAGGATGATAGCCATTTGCTTCACAGACTGTTCAGTTATCTCTGTTCCAGCTAATTTTTCTTATATTGTGTAATAATCCCACTACTTTGTTTTTTTAACTGTGTCTGGGAATAAGCAATTGCCAAAAAATGTGAAGAGAAGCCCAGGGATTTTAAATAACTATTCAGATTTTAATTGCTTTTAATTACATTCCTAATGGTTTTATAGATTTATTCTAACAATTTCAGAAGATCTCTTCAAAGCAATTTATAGGTTGTATTTTCTAAGACAACTATATGAGGTCATTGAAATCTGATCAAATTCTGTAGCCTGTTGTCCCGCTAAATAGCAGGCCATGACCAGTGGTACAAGTTCTCACATGAGACTGGAGTCTGTTGCATCATTTTTGGAGGCTGTCTTGTTAATGCTTCTACTCCATGCTCTTATCTAGAATTCAAAAACAGATAACAGCTGCATCCAAAACAATTGCTTGTGAATATTTTTCAAGCATCCTGTCATCAATTCTCCAGTATTTATAATGTTAATTACTAGTCTTACAGATTGTTTTACTTCAGCTTCAGTTCACTCAGTCTAAAACTGTTATTCCAACTACCTTGCAATTTGTAGTCATCATTTAAAAAAGACCTCTTCTCTTCTTCTCTACTCTTTGTTAATTAAAACTCTACATTGCACAGTTTTGCATTTATAAATCAAAAACCTATATTGTCTAAGAGTGAAGTTTGGGGCATCAGGGAATGCGGATATTGTTCAATATGTACTCTATCAGCATAGAATTTTTTAATCAAATTGGACGGTTAGTTTTTGATGAGGCAGGGCCCATGTTCTACTTGGTATTTGTACAGCACCTAACTCAATGGAGTTCTGATCCTGAATGGGCCTTAGTGCTACTACGAAAGATAATACATAGATGATTAATTCTTAATACCTCACTGTGCAAGAACTTGAAGACTATCTACATCCACACCTGCCTTGGGAAACAAAGTAAAATAAATTCACTGTCATGTTTTGTTATGTGTTTTTTTTCCTTACTGGACAATTTGAAACTTGTCGCTTTCTTTGACGTTGCCATACAGACATATTTGATACAATAGATGGCGAGCATCTCGCAGATGTTGACGTTGCACTCTTCCGAGCATATGTGCAGGATGAGAACAAGACTTCAACCGGCATGTCTCCCCTCACTTCGATAAAGGTGTCACATGATCTCAATGTTGCTGTGATCGTTAATTCCTCCAATTGTGCCATTTCTATTGATCTAAATTTGTATTTCAGGTAGGTTTGCTGCAGAATTTTAAATGCATTTTTATGAGACCAGTTAATTTTAAATTTTTGCCAGTCTTGCGCCTGTTGACATTAGAAGCCAAATTCTCATCAGTGTCCATTTGGGCAGGACTGGGCCTGAGATATATTAAAGAATCACGTTTCTTCAGATTTTGAAAATGAGTTTTCTTCAATATGCGTTCTTCTATTTGGGCAAGCAGAAGAATAGTCTTTGGTACCATTGCTGTAGGAGGCAACAGGTATATTGTGATAGCATTGTGTAGTAGCCACTCCTTGAAGTCTGTGCAGGTGTTAAATAACATAAGAACGGCCGTATTGGGTCAGACCAAAGGTCCATCTAGCCCAGTAGCCTGTCTGCCGACAGTGGCCAGCACCAGGTACCCCAGAGAGGGTGGACCGAAGACAATGATCAAGCGATTTGTCTCCTGCCATCCATCTCCAGCCTCTGACAAACAGAGGCCCAGGGACACCATTTCTATCCCCTGGCTAATAGCCTTTTATGGACCTAACCTCCATGAAATTATCTAGCTTCTCTTTAAACTCTGTTATAGTCCTAGCCTTCACAGCCTCCTCTGGCAAGGAGTTCCACAGGTTGACTACAAGCTTTTATTAGTTTTAAACCTGCTACCCATTAACTTCCTCCATGAAATTATCTAGCTTCTCTTTAAACTCTGTTATAGTCCTAGCCTTCACAGCCTCCTCTGGCAAGGAGTTCCACAGGTTGACTATGCGCTGTGTGAAGAAGAACTTTCTTTTATTAGTTTTAAACCTGCTACCCATTAATTTCATTTGGTGTCCTCTATTTTTTCTATTATGGGAACTAATAAATAACTTTTCTTTATTCACCCTGTCCACACCACTCATGATTTTATAGACCTCTATCATATCCCCCCTCAGTCTCCTCTTTTCTAAACTGAAAAGCCTCAGTCGCTTTAACCTCTCTTCATATGGGACCCATTCCAAACCCCTAATCATTTTAGTTGCCCGTTTCTGAACCTTTTCTAAGGCCAAAATATCTTTTTTGAGGTGAGGAGACCACATCTGAACACAGTAGTCAAGATGTGGGTGTACCATAGTTTTATACAGGGGCAGTAAGATATTCTGTGTCTTATTTTCTATCCCTTTCTTAATAATTCCTAACATCCTATTTGCCTTTTTGACAGCCATTGCAAACTGTGGAAGTTTTCAGAGAACTATATTGTTTTATTGGAATTGCTTAGCAGTAACTGTTGACTGGAGATTTGATCTTGAAAGGCTTGCTTAGTTGAAAGAGGATTGCAGAACCATACATTGTGTTTGTATTACATTAATACATTTATAGAGAATGCTGTTAGTTTAGAGAGAGAACCACTTCTCTGCAATTTTAACTTCCAGTTTTTCATCAGAATAATTTTGTGTCTTTTTAGAATAAATATGAACATATGTAATTTAAAAATGTTCATTAAGAAGTTTTGGAGATGGTGTGATTTGAATTATTCTTAATATTTCTATTTACAGAGAATTCCCTGGGCATTTATTTTGTAAGAAATATTTTGAAAATCTTCCTGTGACACGACTGGAAGGAGTTGATGAGGATGATCTTGCTAGCTCTGACTGCAGCATGAAATTTCTGAGGTTTTCTTTCCAGACAGATAGGTATGTAAATATAAAGCTGTTAGAGTTCCTGTTGCATCATAATCTAGGTCAGAGGCCCTCAAACTGGGAGGGCAGACCAACCTGGGAAGGCATGGAATGTATCTCAGAGGACCTGAGAAGCGTTAGGAAAAACCTGTGAACACTTTACCCACAGCAATGAATAACTGGCAAAGCTGATTCCTCATATGGCTCTGTCTGTGTATTTGATAATTTATGACACTGTGCCTTTTGATGGATTTCTGTTAAGCTTCTAAACCGTTGTATAAAGTTGTTGCCATCTGTACATTAATCTGTTTGTGGTGCAGGGATGTAAATGGTTTAACTGATAAGCCTCTTCATTAATGTGTGAGGCTTACCCATTATGGTTAACTGGTAGGGGCTGAAGCAGCTTCCAGCTTGCTCTGGCCTGAGAGCTGCTCCAGCCCTCTGGGGCCCACCACAGGCAGGGGCTGCTTTGTCCACCCGGCTGGAGCAGCCCCAGTCCATGGTGGGCCTGCCCCCCCTCCCCCCATCCTGCACCGCAGGTTACATGCTGGATCCTTGGGAGCAGACCTGTCAGACCACTTAGACCAGTATTGTGTCTTCCAACGGGCTAGTGCTAGATGCTTCAGAGGTAATGAACAATACAGGGTAATAACTGAGTGATCTATTCTCTTTCATCCAGTCCCAGTTTATGGCAGTCAGAGATTTAGGAATACCTGGAATGTAGAGTGGCATCCCTGCCTGGCTAATAGCCATTGATGGACCTATCTTCCAGCAACTTTTTTTTTAATCCAGTTATACATTTGCTCTTCACAGCATCCCATGGCAATGAATTTCACAGGTTGTCTGTGCATTGTGTGAAAGAAATCGTTTGTTTTAAACCTGTTGCCTATTCATTCCATCTGGTGACTCCAATTCTTGTATTCTATGCAAAGATAAATAACGTGTCCCTATGCACATTCTCCATACCATTCATGTCATCTCTCTTGTAGGCATCTCGTTTCTAATCAGACCACTCCCAGTCTTCAAAACTTTACTAGCTTCTTAAATCTAAAGCTTTTAACAGCTTTATATAGTCAAAATAGTTCTCTTTGTTGATTCAATGAATGTTTTATTTACCAAAACCACCCACAAAGCCCTTTAGTAGTTTTGAGAACATTAAATAAATATAAAAGCCAGTACAGCCGTTCCCCGATTTACGCACAGGTTATGTTCTGAATAACTGGTCGTAACTCAATTTGTTCATAAGTCAGAAATATCCCATATGAAGCACTCGAAGCGTAACCAAGCACCAACAACACAGTAATCAACAACGAAAAATAGAAACACACGAAAAAAACAACAGTACTGCAGCAACAGCAAACTTTATTTAACAAACATGAACATGAAATATAAAACACAATGCAGTAATTTAAATACAGTAATGTGAATTGAATTAATTAGATGAGGAATCTGAGGAGTAAAAAACGACAGTAAGAATATCATCAACAGATTTTATTTCAGCAATTCCTTTGCTTGTCGAAGGCATTGGTTCAGTATGGGAGGCAGCACTGCTGGGGGCTTTCTTTAAAAAAATATCCAATTTGGACTGGACAGTTTGTTTTTTCTTCTTGTTATAAATTTCCTTATAGCAAACCAGGGCGTCCTGAATTAAACGATCCACCTTTGAGAATCTTGCAACATTAGGGTCCATTTTTTTCAAACATTTGCATTCCTTCATTTATTTTGCTAAAAGCTGCAGCCATTTCTTTCATCACAAAGTTTTTGGGGGCTGCTGCTGCTGCTTCTTCTTGGGCTGTTTGTCTGTCTTCCTCTGCTACCCTCTCCGCCTTGAGCTGCATTAAATCTTCATTGCTCAGCTCATCCCCAACATCCTCAACCAGTTGGTGTAGGTCTTCATTATCCATTTCCAGATCCACTTCTTTCGCCAGCTGTACAATGTTATTAGAAATGTCTCCCAGTGCCTTTTCTTTTTCAAAGCCTTTGAAACCGTTCACAAATCTTTTTAGGATTTTCTTTCATATGCCATTCATACATTGCGGAGTGACTTCTTCCCACCCTGCAGCAATGTTCCTTATGCAATGCAGAATGTTGTAGTCCTTCCAAAATGCATGTAATGTTTTGCCGTTTCCGCATTCTGTGCAGCTACTGCCTTTGCAAATGTGTTGCGAAGATAATATGCTTTGAAAGCAGCTTATGGCTTGTTCGGGAAATCTCGCTCCCCTGGGGTACAGAGTCCCCAGAAAGGTCTGAGGCTGGAGGTCAAAGCAGTGAGGCAGGAGAGAAATCTAGAAGGAAAACTTTATTATGCATGCATGCAGGCTGACAGCTACCAGAGTGAGAGCAGCAGCAGCCCTGAGAGACAGGTTCAGGGATCCTTTATACAGTATGCTCAGACAGTTTAGTTGTTGATTGTTTTCTTTAACATATCAAAGTCTCAGCAGAAGTACTTTGAGAGGTTTCTGTTTACACCAAGTATGCTAGAAGTAAGTTTTACAGTACAAAGGCACATGAGAACCTGAGTGAGGAGCCCACAAGGCAAACTGTGACAAAGATAAGGGTTTACATGACAAATTGTGACAGACTAGGAGTCTTCATGAAGTTGAGGTATGAGGCATTGTAAGGGTCTTGATTAGAGTTAAGATGATTTCTCTCTGTTACAGGGAGAGAGGCCTGGAAAACTTTTAACCCTTACAGCAGTTTTCTTTTAGAGAGTTTTGATTCCTGTACAGTTCCCCCTTAGACACAATTGGAGTTATTTGATTTTTCTCCCACAGGCTCTCTGGTCCATGGGTTGGAGACTAGATGTGGTGTTGGGAGGCAGAAACACCACTTTAATGTCGGAATGTAAGTCATTTAGGTATTGAAGGTGACCTGGAGCATTATCCAAAATAAGCAAAATTTGGAAAGGAATTCCTTTCTCCAGAAAATATGACTTGACTTCAGGGATGAAGCAGTTCATGAACCAATCTTCAAAAAGTGCAAGCGTCATCCAGGCTTTTTTATTAGCACGATAATGGACTGGTAAAGTAGCCTTGCTGATATTCTTGAAGGCTCTAGGGTTTTCAGAGCGATAAATCAAGAGGGGTTTCAATTTATACCCAGAAAAATTGCCTCCTAAGAAGACTGTTAGACGATCTTTGAAAGCCTTATAACCAGGCATAGTTTTTGCTTCCTTACGTATGTAGGTACGTTCGGGCATTTTCTTCCAAAAGAGACCTGTCTCATCAACGTTAAAGATCTGTTCTGGAAAATAATTTCCCTCTTTTATCAGCTTATCCAGTTCTTCTATGAAAGGTTCTGCTGCTTTCGAATCAGCACTGGCTGCCTCCCCACTTAATTTCACATTATGAAGGTTTGCACGCATCTTGAAACGGTTGAACCAACCGTGACTGGCAGTGAAAGTTTGGTCATAGTCATACCCCTCCTTTTTCTTTAAGTCTTCAAAAAGACTACGAGCCTTAGCTTGTATCTTCATGAGACTTAATGGCGTGCGTTTTTTAATTTGGTCTTCCATCCAAAGCACTAAGAGTTTTTCCATTTCCAGGATGGGACCTGCTCTTTGCTTTGTTAGAATTTTTTATTTCATAGGAGCAGACCCTTTCAGTGCTTCACGAATGCGATCGCTGTCCTTTATAATGGTGCTGATAGTGGATTTCGATAGCCCTAACTTACGCGACATGAAGGACACTGTTTGACCCCCTTCATATTGTCTCATTATCGCTATTTTCTGTTCCAAATCAATTGTTTTTCTCTTTCTTTTCTCACCACCCTTATCACCACCCTTATCACTAGCCCTTTTTCTTTTACTGGACATGATGGCCACAAGCAAACACTGAAAACACTGTGAGGGAATGAAATGTAAACATGCTGCCTGACCGCAGACACACAAACACAACGTGCTGCCACGAGGTTGGTCGTAAGTGCAGATGGTCGTAAGTCGGGGAATGGCTGTACTGAACTTAGTGAAATGTATGATTTAATGGAGCTAGCTGTAAGCAAACAACTCAGTTGCACCAAATAAATACTCAGTATTAAAATAATTTTAGATAGAATTACCTTGCTAGCATTTTGAAGCTAGAGCGCAGGATTTTAAATGTTGTCCATAAATCTTGATTTACATTTTGGCTTTTGGTCAAAGTAACCTTTTAAAATTGAAGCCTGTAAATGACTTTCATTATTGTGATTTTGGTGGTTGTAAGTTTTTCTCTCTTGCCAGGTCATGGAAAGCACACTTGTCCTCATTATCTAACACATCAAAGACACCTGACTCTTCCAATTTGATATCTAATGTTTGCTTACCTTGGTACCACTATCTTCCCCACCTTGAACAGTTTGATTCTAAAATCAGTGAGACGTCAGAGAAGATCTTGTCCTCCATTCCACAAGACATTGTCTACATCCTTTCCGAATCAGCAAAGAAAGATTATGCAAAGATCAGTGATGCAGGAAGACAATGGACAAAAATCCATCCAGGGGGAGTAGAAGACATGATGACACTTGAGTGTAAATCTGTGACAGGATTTAGTGCACTGTTTGCATTGTCAGCGGGTGACAAAGGATTGACTGTTGCTCTGTGGGACTTAGAGACGCAAGATGTGACATATTATTGTATGGGCAAAAACTGTACTTATGTGGATTGCAGTGGAAAGGAGCAGCTGTGTGTCATTTTGACAGGTGAGATTTTTGGTTTTACCTAATATGATGAAGTCTTTGGTCTGTATTGACAGTCTGCTTCCTCTGTCTACCTAATATGATTCTCCCAATTCATATTGCTTTTCTACAGAGGGTGAGTGTCATGTAGGACTCTACCTTAGCTTTGTGGCCCTGTTTTTAACAGAATTTCAGTATATGTAAATTAAACAAATTAGTGTGTAGTTAGTAATTTTTGACATACTGATTTAGTATGATTTCACCAGTCATGGTGACTAATTACATTGTATAGAAAAATCTGTAACCATTCAATTTTATTTTCAGGGTTTAGATAAGATGTACTGATACATTTGGTAAATCTGTGCTTTATTTTAAACCTTGCCACTTGGAACATTACGTTTCAAAGATAGCGATTCATCGTATGTCTTGTATTAAGTGAGAGCTTCATTAAAAGTTTAGTGCCAAATCCCACCTTGAGCTAGGTATTTGCATCTCACATAAACTCCACTGGGAGTTGTGTATGCTATACTTGAAGTCAGAGTTCGGCCCATAAATATGGGTCCTTCCTCGTGGCCTGTGACCCTAAATCTGAAGCAGTTTGGGGTCTTTCTGTTCAGTGCATTTTTCTTTTTTGGCCACTTTGTTTCCCCCATATTTCTCCTTACATTCTCACTGGCAGCTTGGGTGTTTTTAGTTCAGCTGCAAAGAGAGCAAGTGGCAGCCTCTCTTGATCTAGGAATGGGCTTATTGTAGTTTCCGCACAGGCAAGCTGGCTCATGCTTTCCTCATAAGTCACACCTGCAAATTCCTTATTGAGTTCCTTGCTCCATCAGTCTTCATTATGAAACTTGAATCTGCGTACTAGTTGATATTCTTAATATAATGCACATCGGTATTAAAAGAATACGTTCAACAAACTAGTTATCTGAGGGCGACTCTTATGTTTTGGATTCCTGAATTTGACTTTCAAGCTGGCTTCCTGCATATAATGGGCTCCTGTGGAGCCGCCTGCCCCCTCGCTACCCCACTGCCTCAGAGGCAGCAGTTCGGGGGGGACAGAAGGGAGCTGGCTCCGCACAAGCACCAGCTCCCGTAGAGTCACCACACCCCACCCTCACGCTGCTGCCTTGCAGCAGTGCGGCAGGGGGCAGGCAGTTCCGTGGAAACCTGTTACACACAGGGAGCCGGCCTGAAAGCTGGCTCCCTACGCATATTGGCTCTTCCCCGCCCCCCCACCCTG